AGTTTTAAACTGCTACCATAAGATGTTCTTCTATAATTAAAAGATTTAACATTAATTTAACAAACAGAGACCACTTACATTACAATCTTTCAATTCTATTTATTAACAACATTGAAAGAACTTACTTTGGTTACAGGTATGTAAAATTACATTTCTCAGCAGCACCCCGATTTAGAGGATTCAATCGGACGTCCATGTTCTATTTTCACTTTATTTGCTGGATCACTGTTGCCACTTGATGGAGGGCCCACTCTAAGTTTTATTTCTGCAGCCATTGTCATAAATGCTTGTTCTACATTCATTGCATTTTTTGCAGATGTTTCTAAGAATGGTATACCAAGTTGATCTGCATATTCCTATGTACAAATTTTGTCAAAATATTAATATGCAATTTTAGAATTAATGTGTTTTAAGTAGTTCTCTTACTTTTGCTGTTGTGTAATCAACAACTTTTTTAATGTGAAGATCACATTTATTGCCGACCAGCAGCTTATTCACATTGTCACAGGCATAACGATCAATTTCTTCCAGCCATTGTTTAACATTATTAAATGTTTCTTGATCTGTGCAGTCATAAACAACTATAATACCATGTGCACCTCTATAATAAGAGCTTGTAATTGTTCTGAATCGTTCTTGGCCCGCTGTATCCCAGATTTGTAATTTTATTGTTTTTCCATCTAGATCAATTGTTCGTATCTTGAAATCAACACCGATAGTACTGATATAACTTTCTGTGTATGTATCATCAGCAAAGCGGAGTAAAAGACATGATTTTCCAACTCCAGAATCTCCAATTAAAAGTAACTTAAACAAGTAATCACTGTAAAATAAATATTTATAATAAATTAGATTAGCGAATTTAAAATGTACAGACATTATTAGCTTAAGTTTATTTTTACTTTATGATTTACATAATTTTGAATACATTAAATCAAATATCAATTATATATTTATCTTGATTAATTTTCAAACATATTTTATTAAATTTGGAATTAAAAATATAATTAATTCATGTTTATGAAAATAAATAATAAATAAATTATTAGGCCTTTTTTGTATATATAAGTATATATTTTTTAACAAATAAAATTTATAACAATAGAAATTAATTAATACAAACATATATTGTAAGTTTAAATAATAAATTAATAATAAATAATATACGTAAAAGATAATTATAATTATAAATTAGTACTGCATTATGTTGTAAACTAATTTTTGTATATTTAATTATAAATATAAGACACGAATAAAATATGAATTTCATATAAAATATCAAAAATTTTAAGAAAATAGTATGTAAATACATAACAGTTACAATTAATTTTTCTTTTAAAGTTTATAAAGCTAAAATTTTATAATATTTTTTATTATTAATTATAACAAAATTATTTCTTATATAACTGTACGTTTTAATATAATAAAACGACATAAATAAGTGATCTTTGTTTTGTATTTTTTATATCTGAAAACATGAATGTTTTAAATTATTTTTAACACTTTCCCAGGATATTCACACAAGTTTTTTTTATTTGAAACTTGGTTTCAATTTCAAATAAGCGGTTAATAAATTGAGAAATATGTCGAAATAAAGTGAAAAAATTGAAACTAGAAAAAGCACAACAGAGAATGAATTTCTGAAATATGGCTTGTGAATTGAGTAGCAAGAGAGGGGGAAAGACGAATCTGTCAGATAGTAAACCTTAAACAAAACTTTTTCGTATTAACATGGCTATGCATTTCACAAATGACATTAAGTTAGTCTCTTTGATGTTAATCGTTATTGGGATTATAAATAATTAATTATATATTTCACAAAATGAACATTCCTAGATATGCTTATGTCTGCGCAAAAAGAAATTTACTCACTATTCGGGATTCATTGTGGACATACTATGCTCAGAACACGTTTACTGATATTGTGTATGGTCGTTCCGGAAATCTAAAAAAATAGACACAATACGTTGAAATAAGCGATGTAATGATAGAAATTCACAGATCACGTTCTTCAATACGAAGGAGCTGTAACAATGGCGGTCGCGGTAACTCCTCCCAACCAGCAAATGAAATGTCTACCATTGACGTAATGCCAGAATGGCAGCAGGTGCTGTTTCACTCCCTCTATTTGACGATACACGAGCGATTCAGCACAAAGACCACGTCTGCGCACTTCTTATCTTAAGGCCTACTCTCTTTTCTTTCCGTCCCTTTCCTTTTTATCAATTTTTATATAAATTATTTTATAAATTTACAATGAAAATAAATATAATACTAAAGATTCTATACAAACGGTTTGTGTTTTAATTGCTACACTGAATATCGATATCGAAAATTGTATGTAATACTCACGTATTACATGTGTACTGAATCACGGCTTTAGGACGTATTTTCAAGATAGTGATTCTTTGAAATTATGTAGTAAGTATTTATGCGTACTATATTTGTATCATATTTAATGAAAATTATTTGTTATTTAAGTATCAAAAAGATATTCTTGTATATTGTTCATCATAATTTATCCTTTTTGTAAATAAAATTTTTGTAACAAAATATTACAATTCGATATGATAATATAAGTTACTTACCTTTTTAATGTTAATTTTTATATTATTTTCTTTTAAAGTTTATAAAGCTAAAATTTTATAATATTTTTTATTATTAATTATAACAAAATTATTTCTTATATAACTGTACGTTTTAATATAATAAAACGACATAAATAAGTGATCTTTGTTTTGTATTTTTTATATCTGAAAACATGAATGTTTTAAATTATTTTTAACACTTTCCCAGGATATTCACACAAGTTTTTTTTATTTGAAACTTGGTTTCAATTTCAAATAAGCGGTTAATAAATTGAGAAATATGTCGAAATAAAGTGAAAAAATTGAAACTAGAAAAAGCACAACAGAGAATGAATTTCTGAAATATGGCTTGTGAATTGAGTAGCAAGAGAGGGGGAAAGACGAATCTGTCAGATAGTAAACCTTAAACAAAACTTTTTCGTATTAACATGGCTATGCATTTCACAAATGACATTAAGTTAGTCTCTTTGATGTTAATCGTTATTGGGATTATAAATAATTAATTATATATTTCACAAAATGAACATTCCTAGATATGCTTATGTCTGCGCAAAAAGAAATTTACTCACTATTCGGGATTCATTGTGGACATACTATGCTCAGAACACGTTTACTGATATTGTGTATGGTCGTTCCGGAAATCTAAAAAAATAGACACAATACGTTGAAATAAGCGATGTAATGATAGAAATTCACAGATCACGTTCTTCAATACGAAGGAGCTGTAACAATGGCGGTCGCGGTAACTCCTCCCAACCAGCAAATGAAATGTCTACCATTGACGTAATGCCAGAATGGCAGCAGGTGCTGTTTCACTCCCTCTATTTGACGATACACGAGCGATTCAGCACAAAGACCACGTCTGCGCACTTCTTATCTTAAGGCCTACTCTCTTTTCTTTCCGTCCCTTTCCTTTTTATCAATTTTTATATAAATTATTTTATAAATTTACAATGAAAATAAATATAATACTAAAGATTCTATACAAACGGTTTGTGTTTTAATTGCTACACTGAATATCGATATCGAAAATTGTATGTAATACTCACGTATTACATGTGTACTGAATCACGGCTTTAGGACGTATTTTCAAGATAGTGATTCTTTGAAATTATGTAGTAAGTATTTATGCGTACTATATTTGTATCATATTTAATGAAAATTATTTGTTATTTAAGTATCAAAAAGATATTCTTGTATATTGTTCATCATAATTTATCCTTTTTGTAAATAAAATTTTTGTAACAAAATATTACAATTCGATATGATAATATAAGTTACTTACCTTTTTAATGTTAATTTTTATATTGTACATATATTTTTATGTTTTATCTAGACAAACTTCTAGTAACTTTACATGTAATTTCATTATAAAAAAGTATTTATTGAAAATATATTAGTAAAACCAAATAAAGTTTGCAATATTTTTATAGTTATTTGTTTTTTATATTAAAAATATGAGATCAATTTTATCAATTTTATGTGTATAAATATGTAAAAATGTAAAAATCTTCGTAATATGTTACATTACATTGTTAATTTTTTTTTTTATAATTTTAACAGTAAAATTAAGCACAAAATTATATGTATAGTAATTTTTTCTTTGTTAAAATAAATTTGAATTTTATTACGTAAATTAAGCGTGTTTGAACTGTTAAACAACATATTTTTACACGCAAACTGTACAGATAAATATTATTATTGTACATAAGTTGGTTACATGATTTTTATTTACAAATATGATATATTAACATTTTATATTTATGTTTCTAATTATATATGTATAAGATATATAATAACGTTATGTTTTTATCACAAAATATCTTTCATTAGTGAGATTACTTTCTACAGTTAGTTATATTAGTATCATATATTATTTGGGATATATATTAGAAATTATTATTTTAATAAGATATACAATTTAAGTATTTTCTTTTTTTTTTATCTAGAGAAATTCACCAATAAAGTTTTACTGTTAATAACAAAGTGAAAAAATTTCATTAATGTCACCCATATTTACCAAAGATGTACCTTCATCTGAATTATTTTTCCAATCTGTAAATGGAAATAAATTAAAGTTTATTGATAAAAGTGCAAAAGCTAGAAATGTTGTGAAATTCGTTTTATATAAAAACATACATTTGAATGTGAATCCAACTCTCATTCTAATATTTGCAACAATAATTTTATGGAAAGCATTTAACATTTTCATACCCTTTATTGTATGTATATTAGTACTGGTATTGCAGTTCATTTGTTTTATCACTTCTGTAAATAAAGGTTTGTCAATTAATTATTGATTATTATATATTTTTATATGTGGTGATAATGTTTATATTTTATTTACAGATACTTTAACAGTAGTAGAGTCTGTTGGTATATATACAGAAGCAAAAAAAATATTTTACGGTCCTAGTTTATGTGAATTTATTCCTTGGGATACTGTGTTAGATATATTTATTAATGAAGTTATAACAGGTGTAAGTGTTAAAAATTTATATATAGTTACTTTTACAAGTCTATATTATCTAAATAAAAATATATTTACATTTTTAGCAAAAAGTATTATATTATCTTACAATTATAATTAAGAACCCATTTGGTAGTAAAGATTCTATAAAACTAGTTCCTTTATTTCAAAACTTGATACCTGAGAGAAAATGCCTGGAATATATGTACGAAAAGCTAGCTGGATTGATTGGACCCAAAAAGGGGAAAATCCAAATTTAGCAGTGCCTGGCTCATATTGGTTGTATCATAAGAGCAATATATACAAATTTGTGTTTAGGTATCACCGTACAACCAGGTAGTTATTACTAATAGCAAAATACTATTAACAGAATAAGCTTTTTAATATGTGTAGAAATTTAATATTTGTAGAAATGTAAAACAATTTAATTTTGGAAGAGAACTAATAAAAGTTATTAGAAGGATTATAAAAAATCAACCTCCTCAGGGACAGCAATTTCGTACAAGCCACCTTCTAATTACTTTCAGTATCCTTTTTTTAACATATATATAAATATAATTTTTAATTTGTTATTAATTTTGTATATTTTATATGTTTTATAAAACTTTTTTTAACTTAATTCGTGATAAATAGATCGTACATCATGGACTAGACAAGATAAAATATTTGCAATGATGAAGTTTAAAGAACGATCAGTTGTAGCATCTTCTCATGCATATATGTTGAATATAAAATTATCCTATCCTTTAGAAACAGAACAGAATTCAAAGTATATGATGACTTCTTCTTGTTCTGACCATTCTTTGATCTACCAAAATGAAAATTCAACTGGTACACCTATATATGAAAATAAGAATGAAAAAGAAAGTAAAAAATGTTTAATGCATCCTTCCAAAGATAATTATTCAGAGAAAAGTAACCAATATGGTAATAAAAAAGAACAAAATTTAGAATGGGAAAATAAAAATATTCCATCAAATAATAGCATGATAAATAATAATTTAAAAAAATTAGCTACTAATGAAAATACAAGTAAGTTTTGTAAAAATTTAAATAGATCATATATGGTACATATAGAATCTGAAAATAGTATAAGATTAAACGATCAAATAAAAGAAAATAGTAATGACTGTTTACAAGATAATAATATTGAACATCAATTATCTTTTGAAAAAGTTAATATAAAAAATAGCAAATTATCTGACGATAGGATAAAGTTAAATGAGTATAATATCGAAGAAGTTTCTATTAAATGCAAAGATGATTCTGTATCAAATAATAGTAGAATATTAAATGATAATAGTACCAGTGATCATGCTAATGTAGATTCTGTTAATTTACCATATCAGTACTTGATAGAAGAAGAAATAGAAAGTGCAAAGCAGAGTGTTAAAAAATGTAGATTAGAAGAAGTAAATAAAAAGAATTCCATCAGCTATGCAGAAGTACATTCAGATGTTAGCAAGATACAAGATTTACCTTGCCCTAAAAAGAAAAAATTTGCATCAGATGATGTACCACGATCTTCTGATATTACAGATTTAGTAATGGAAGGATTAATGTTTACAATTCGGCAAGGACAAGATACAGTAGCAGTTATAGAACAAAAAACTAAGTTAGAGGTAGATGAAGTATTGGAAAATTCTGAAAAAATTGAAACAAAGGGAGGTGAACAATGCTTACGAAATTCTAGTTTACTTGGCTTAGAAAATTTAATAACAATGATTGAATTACCGAAAGAAAATGAATCTGGAGATAAACTTCAAAATATAATTAATTACGAGTCTACTTTAGAAAATCAGTCTATAAATAAACACTCAGTTAATAATATAGAACACACATTAACAAATGATAAAATTAAAAAACAAAATATTGTATCTGAATTAAAACACATGCAGCAGTATCCTTTAAATGGCTCTATTTTAGCCAGTACTAGTTTCTCAAATACTAACGATAATTTAGATCTTACAAATAAATATCACTATTCTGAACCATATGATAATTATAAATGCAAAGAAGATGAAAAGTTTATAACAAACGTGAATTTAAAATATAAGCAAAGAGAGAAAGAAACAGAGGAAGAAGAAGAAGAAGAAGATATAATACCAGAAGCATTACAAAATGAGATTTTTCATTCCTCTACCCAGTCTCTTAAAGTAGTTAAACCTGAAAGTAAATTGAAGTTTATGGCAACTAAGGATTTATTAATGGATGATATGAATAGTGAAAAATTATTAAAATTTGAAATAGGCAAGAATGAACTTAATCCTCATTTTAATAAAAGCTTACACTACAATACGTATTCAGAAAATAATGAGACACAGACATTACATTATAATACAATATGTACATCTAAATGTAATGATACAAACAAGTGCAAATTGAATTCTCCAGTAGTTATTTCAAATCAAATTATTACTCTAAATGAAATACCTTTGCCATTACAGAAAATACTTCGAAATAAATTATCAATAAAATATAAATCTTTAAGTAATGAAAATAAAATAAATAAAGATAACATTAATATTTAATTAGAAAATCAAATTTCGGATGGTAATATATTAA